CCCCGGCCCGACCCAACACACGTGTGCTGCCGCGCGGGAACGGGCACGGGCACCGACCGAGCCACTATGTGCAACGGGATTGCTGTTGGAGGGGCGCACACACACACACACACACGCACACACAACCTAGCCAACATACACATCTATGTTCATACACACATACATATACACTGATGTACACGCACGCATACATGAATGCATAAACATATATACACACACATACACAAATATGCACACATATTTATACACATATATAGGTATATACATATACACACACACACAACTACATACATACACACACCTCTATATACACACACACTTATATATATATGCACACATATAAACACATGCACACACACACATACATGCATACATATATATACAGACACGTATATATACACACACACAAACTCACATATGCATACACATATACACACAAATTTATATATATATATATGAATATACATATATACATATACACAGACACGTTTATATATACATGCACAAATATTCACACACACACATACACGCAGACACATATATAGGCATACATATACACGCACACTATATGTAGATATACACACATATCCATACACACATACACAAACACAAACATACATATACATACATATGTACATATACACACGTAAATATATACACAGGTATACACACACATCTATAGATACACACATGTATCATACACACACAGACAAACACATACACACATTGACGCAGGCACACACACATATAGATATACATATGCATACACACATGTGCATACATAGATATAGGCACATGCATACAGACACATACATATATACACACAAACATATACACGTATATCTACATATGTGTGTATGTGTGTGTATATAGATCTACATGTGTGTGTATGTATACATGTGTATATGTATGTGTACATTCATACATGTGCATGCACACACTCATGCACATGCATACATAGATGCATGTGCACATGCAACATGTGCACATGCACATATATACATGTATCTACACATGCACGGGCATGCACACATACACATGCACGCTCACGCACATATACAGATATACGCATGCACACGTACATGCGCACATATATACATATATGTGCATGCATTAAAACATGCACACATGCACACACATTTTCATGCGCACACAACATATATAGGTGCACACATGCATGCGCAGACACACATTTGCACGCACACATGCAGAAACACGTATATGCATGCACACACAGATGCACACACATATGCACACACGCAAGCCTGCATGCTTGCAAACACAGACGCACACACAAATGCATACACACGTATACAAATACAAACACATATAGATATAGAAACAGAACCACATGTACATACACACACGTACACACATGCATGCATGCAAGCATATTCATTCATGCATTAACACATATACACACACATGAAAGTATACACATCTATACACCTGCTCACGCACATATGTACACACATATAAACATGCATGCATGCACGGACACATGCACGCACACACATATACACACACGAACACGCACATACACACATGCATGCATGCACACTTAAACATGCACGCAAGCACATGCACACATATACACATGCAAGCGTGCACATTCGCAAACATGCACACGGATGCGCAAACATACACACACACAAACACACGTACATAGACAAATACACATATATAGAGATATAGGAACAGAGACATACACACACATACAGAGAGATATACATATATACACACGCACATACATGCGCGCACACATACATACATATATAGACAAAAATACACACATGCGCGCATATATATACGCACATATGCACGCACATGCAAACATACACATGCACACATACATATGCACACATATAAACATTCACGCACATGTATGTATGTATACACACGTGTGTATGTGTATGCATGTGTATATACATGCATGTGCATGTATACGTGTATGTACATGTGTGCGCGCATGCGGGCGCACGTGTATGTACATGTGTGCATGTGTGCACGTACATGCTTGTATATACGTCTGCATGCATGCATGTGCATATATATGTGCGTGTGTGTACATGCATGTGCAAAATATGCTTGTGTTTATTTGTGTTCCTGTGTGTCTGTATTTGCATATGTGCCTGTGTCCAGGTGTGTGCGTGCATATATATGTGCATGTCAATGTGTGCATGTGTGCATATGTGTATGTCTATGCAGGTGTGTATGTGCACACGCATGAGTATATGTCTGTGTGCGTGTGCATATGTGTGCGCGCATGTGTATATATGTGGCTGTGTGCGTACATACATATACGTGTGTACATGTATACATGTGTATGTGCATGTGTGTATATAGGTGTGCGCATACACGTGTGCACAAGTGCATGCGTGTATATTCTTGTTTATACATGTGTGCATGTATATGTGTGTGCATGTTTGTGTGTGTGTGTGTGTGTGTGCATGCTCATGGATATGTGTGTGCACATATCTGTGTGTGCGTATGTATGTGTGCGTGTGCTCATAAATGTGTGCATGTATATATGTATATATATCTGTGTGCGTGTGAATGCGTGTGCATGTTTGTGTATGTGTGAACGTTTGTGCATGTGTGTGCATGTATGCGTGTTGTGTATGCGTGCATGGACCTGTATGTGTATATGTGTGTTTATATATATGTGTGCATGCACACATGTATACAGGTGCGTGTGAGTTTGCGTCTGTACTTGTGTGTATATATGGGCGCATGCATTCGTGCATGTTTGTGTGCGCACATCTGTGTGCTCTTGTGCATGTGTACACGTGTACCTGCATATGCACGTATTTGTGCATATGTGTGTATGCGCGCATGTGTACGTGTGGACATGCACATGTGTGTACATTTGCTTGTGTGTACATGTGAGCGTGCATGTTTGTGCATGTTCACCTGTGTGCATGTATATGTGCATATGTGTATGTGTGCACATGTGTCTATATTTATGTGCATGTGCTAGTGTGAATGTGAGTGCATGCATATAAATGTGCGTGAACGTATGAGTGCATGCATGTGTGTGTGCATCTGCGTATGTGTGCACGTGTGCCTATATGTGTGTGCGTGCATGAACGTGTGCGTGTTTGTATATAAGTGCGTGTGCCTGCCCGTGCGTGTGTTGCGCAATTGTTCGTGTGCATGTGTGCATGTGCATGCACGTGTATATATGTGCATATAGTTGTGTGCATGTGTAGCTGTATGTGTGTGTGCACAGCTGTATGTGCATGTGAGTGTGTGCATGTATATGTCTGTATATGTGTGTCTATATACGTATGTGTGTATGGCTCTATATGTGTGTATATTTTTCAGTGTCTGTGTGTGTATGTATGTGTGCATGTTTATATGTGTATATGTAGGTATGTGTGTGTATATATATATAGATGTGTTTGTGTAGGTGTGTATATCTATCTGTATATGTGTATGTATGTGTGTAAGTGTAAATATATATGTATGTATATGTATATGTGTGTGTATATATGTCTCTGTGTGTATGGATGGATATGTGTGTGTGTGTGTATGTGTGGGTATACATGAATGTGTGTCTGTGGGCATGTCTATATGTGTGTCTACATATGTGTGTGCACATCTGTGTGCATATTATATATATGTGTGTGTGTGTGTGTGCGCGCACATATCTATGTGTGGGTGTGTATATGTGGCTGTGTGTGTATGTGCATCTATACGTGTGTATATGTGTGCGCATGTGTGTATATGTGTGTCTATATACATACATATATACACACATATATATATATACATATATGAGTATGTGTACGTATGAGTGTATATCTATCTATGTGTATGCATGTATGCATAAATATATATACACGCATATACATACATATACACAGATACACAGGCACAGACAGATAGATAGTTTCATAGATTTCATAGACATTAGGGCTGGAAGGGACCTCGGAAGATCATCGAGTCCAGCCCCCTGCCCAAAGGGCAGGAAGTCAGCTGGGGTCATAGGATCCCAGCAAGATAAGCATCCAGTTTGCTCTTGAAGGTGTTCAATGAAGGCGCTTGAACCACCTCCGGTGGCAGGCTGTTCCAGACCTTGGGGGCTCGGACAGTAAAGAAGTTCTTCCTTATGTCCAGCCTGAAACGATCTTGAAGTAGTTTGTGACCATTCGACCTCGTCATCCCTTGGGGCGCTCTGGTGAACAAACGTTCCCCCAGATGCTGGTGGTCACCCCTGATAAACTTGTAGG